ACAAAACTTGTTTCATGCTGCAAACTATTATCTCCAAGTTATTACTGAACAAAGTATGATATGCTACTTCTATACATTGCCACAACACTCTAAAACCCTGCTTCATTGTTGTCCTACAAAAAACCTTGTGTTATACTGCACCGCAAACCTGTCACAAAACCTGCATATGTTGTCCTATACAGTCTAAAGTCTGTCCAAAAAACCAGTCCAAAACTGCTTTATACAGTCTTCTCCAACCTGCATCATAACAGCCACAAAATTACACCAAAATGGCAAAAGAAAATTGTGTGAAAAAAGTATCAAAATAGTAGGCAAAAACAGTTCAAAATAACTTATTTTGTTTCCCTCTTAAACCTCAGTCAAGGAGCTACAAAAGGGATTGTTTCATAAGACATAGAGAGGATTTTTTGGAGAGAAAAAGAGAGAAGAGAAAAACAGAACTTTTGTTAAACTCTTCTCATTCATAAAACGCATCTCTATTTTCAAAAACAGAACCTCAACCCATTATTCCATCTCACAAACTCTCCCATAAACCAACCAACCAAAAACTTCACATTGCATAGAGATTGTTCTAACATAAGAACAGATTTTGTAACACCCTTATCATCACCTTCTAAACACGAACAAAAATAGTATTTTTCAACTTTGACTGGGTTGGAGCGATTTTGGAACTTTGCAGCACAGAGCAAGGGTTGGAGCAGTTTCAAGGAGGAGCTCAGTCAATCATCACTTTGCATCCGGAGACATCCATATGTGTTCTAAAGTTTCGCTTCAAGAGGTATACTTTTTCATAAACTGCAATATCTTTATCCATACATCATTTGTTGTCTGTTTCAAAAGATATATAAAAAAGATAGATCAAAAGAAGAAAACTCAGTGAAAAATCCAAGACATGAGGCTGACACGGGTGCCCGCGCCACGCGACAGGGCCCATGTCAGCTCAGTTGTTTAAATATCTAACAAAAAATGAAGGGCGGGGTGCTGACACGGGTGCATGTGTCACATGACACGACCCGTGTCAGGTCCACTGGGATTATAAGTTAACAAATATGCATGACAGGGTGCTGACACGGGTGCCCGTGTCATAGGACACGGCCCATGTAAGGTTTGTTGGAATCAGAAACATGCACAAGTGGTAAGTCATGATGCTGACACGGGTTCCCATGTCACATGACATGCCCCGTGTCAGCTTAGCTGGTACATAAAGGAAAATGTGCATAGATCAATACAGGGTGTTGACACGGGTGCCCGTGTCACAGGACACGGCCCGTGTCAGACCAGGCAGCATAAATCTTGATTTTTCTTTGATTTTTTTTACTTTTATTTTCATTCAATTTGGTTGTAATAGTAAAATTAGATTTTATTTGCTTTTATCTCCCCATTTGTAAACTTACACCCCCATCCCTTAAAGTGATGTAATAGTGTAGGATTTTAATTTCTGCAAATTTTTCGCTTTTCATATAATTGTTAGTAATTAGGGTGTGTATGGCAAGATAAAATCAACCGTTAGAAAATCCTAATATCAAAGATAATGCGTGCAATCAAACACACTTCACACATGCTCACCTTTAAGGTAATATCGCTTTGTTGCCTCGAAAAATAGTCATGTCCCTCGAATATGGGCATTTTAGTAAAGACCCTCGATAAAAAAGATCGTAGTCCCTCGATGTCCCTCGATATTGTCTTCAGTAAACGATCTAGTCCCATACGAAAATTGCTAAAACGTCTCATAAGTTGCCTTCCATGACTATACGATTGACCTGCGCTTGTCCTTTCACATCCAATGATGGAGCTTCTTATCAATCAATGGTAAGATAGTAACATCTAAAGAAGGAGGAAAAGAACAAAGACCTCTTGAGTAGTTAGGACGCTCGTAGTTGCTTGTTCACAAATCAAAATCATTTTCACACTTACACTTTCAAAACACCTTCAAAAAACAAACATCTCTTTTGAACTATTTTTCAAAACCAACACTTTGTATACATTTTTATAGAGACGAGAATCATTAAAAAGTTTTCTGAAACAAATGCATTTTCAAAATACTTTCAAAAATCCACCACAAATACATTTCAAACAAAGCATTTTTCAAAGTGATCTAGCAAGTAACTAAGAGCTCGTAGATAACTACGGATGAAAAGGATGCTAACACCATCCCTTTTCATAACCTACCCCCCGAACTCAAGAAAAAAATCTTGAAAGGTCTTTCCTATTCTTTTCACCCTTTTCTTTATTGGATAAAAGAAAAGTCGATGACAACTCTTGCTATCCGCGACATTTGCAACAAAACGCAAAACACCCGAGTCAGTTCTTCCGCCGTATTACACCTTCTGAAGATTATCCATATCAAGGAGTCCTTTAAGTCCACTCTTAGATTTATATATTATGTCATTTATTTGTCTTAAGATGTTTATTGTGAGAACATTGCTTGTTGTCTATACTCGGCTCACCATAAACTAAAACATTTGTAGTTGAGCTAAGTGAAGTTAATATTAAAGTGTGTTTATGTTATATGTTGTGTGGTTAGTGCTTGTTTTACTATGTGTTTATTTGTTATAAAATTTATTTCTTTGATTGATCAACTTAGAAATGGGTAACTGCTTGGTGTTGAGAGAGAGATCCAACAACAATTGTATTTAATGAATAAAAATGGTTGAAAAAGTAGGATAGATATATTCACTTGACCTAGTTTACTTAGAGATAAGAAACTGCAACCATTAAGGAATTCAGATTTATTAAAAGACGTATATTTAGGTTAAAGTGAGACTTAGAAATTTATTCTCTTGCCCTTGTCTGCATGTTCTGAATGTTGTAGAAATGCACCACAAAATCATTCTGACATTGTCTATCACGACTCCACACATCATTAATGTATAAATGCACGAATGATATTAACGGATTTATACTTAACTCAAACACTTTTATTATACTTTCACTTCATCTCACACTAATTGTAGTTTTATTTTAAGTAACACTGAACTTGTCACTATCAACATTATTATTTCTCCACTCATTGCTTAAATTGAAATAATAGATTTTTTACAAAGTCAAATCTAAATAGCATTTACTCATTGTGGATACGATACTCGTATACTTATAACTTGCTTCAATCAAAACATGTATACTTGCATGTGACAATTTAGTTTTGTGATTTTCAACCAACAAACAGCCATGATGGCAGAGGCTCGGGAGGCACTACATCACATGAGGCGGCGTATGAACAGGAATTCCGAGTCTGCCATACGCGGTAATTTATAGTATTTGTACTCTGGATTTATTTTCGATTGTATTTTATTTTGACTTATTTCGACTTCGTTGTGTATTCTGAATTTATTACTTTATTTATGTCATTTTCTGCATATCGGTTATATGGTCTAATTCATCATAGTATACCTTTACTATATCGTCAATTTCATCAGAGTATCACTAAAACAAACTTAAAATTTACTGAATGGTCTGATTATGGAGATACATCTCAGGAGTTTATCTTATGTGAATACGGGAAATAATTTATGGTAAAATAGAGCATTTTAGAGATGGATGAATGGGATATATATTGAATTATTCTGGAGATGCATCTCCGAAATAAATTTTTGAAAATATATTGAATGTGACAAAGTGTTAACGCTTTGGCTGAAGAGAAATGTGCGTTCGGAGATGAATTTTCAGAATCTGAGGAACAATTTTAGATTTTTTATAAGATGTTTTTCCATCACATAGGATGTATTAATAAATTTCCCTCAACATTTATCGCAACATCCAATCTGTTTGTCTTCTTTTGGACCTTATATATAAGATCTAACATCTATCATACACTTTCTATTTTCTCCTACTATTGCTTCTATTTTCGGAAGTATACTTTTAGACTTTTTAAGGAAGCATATTTTTGAATTTTTTTATAAATGTAACTCACTTATATATAAATCTAGTGTATGGGTATAGAGTGAATCCATAAATGCTTTTCCTGACTCAATTTTAAAAAGAAAAAAAACTGGAGTGAGTTTCACATAAAAATGTATTCTGGTGAGACTGGGGTGCGTTTAGAAATTCATTTTCGAAATCTAAAAAATATTTTTAAATTTTTAAAAAATATTTTTTCACGGGTGAGATTCAACTCATTCACCATTTTATCCAAATTAAAGTCACAAAATAGCCCTAATTCGAATTAAATTTCTTCCTGATTCAAGTCTCAAATTCAAAAGCTTAAAACACAGCATTTTTGTACTTCCAAACCCTCTCCACACACATGTCACCATGGATCATTCGAGTATGATGCTAACATAAAAATTATATCAATCCACATTAATTTCCAGCACATAACAAATAATCAATCCTAAGGTACATCACACTTATCTAACATGCAAACCATCATCAACTCATTAATTCTTTAATCAAAACTTAAAATAATTTCCCTTGCTAATCATGCATATATATATATAACTTTTTTCCTGATAAAACTCAGGCAGAAATGACACTATCACTGGACTTTCCAGGAAATAATTGAATGCTACAATTCAAGCCGATGCTCGTCCAGATCAACTACATAACTTCAACAATAATCTAAATGTATGAAAAGAAACTTGTGTGCATGTGCCCCTAAAAGATACATAGACAGTTAGCACACAAGTGTGCATGATACAGCTACATACCACTTTAACATATATATTACTCAAACCAATTGGTGAGTAAAATATTCATCCCTATATATACAACAAACATTCTAAACTGTGCCATAAACTGCACAATCCAGAGGGGGTGATCAACATGTTAATGGTCAGCCAAACCAGAATCATAGGCTGAGCTGTGAGGACATTGCATCGTCTTCTCCACAAAGAACTCGTCTCTTCACCCATCTTTCAAAACAGTGTCTCTCAGCTTCCCTTCAACGCGACAAGAGCAAGCTCAAAATGGCATTTTTTTTTTCATCCATCAAAAAATGCACCGCCTAATCAGCTGCCGAGTTTGCACATTCCAATCCAAAACCAATAAAAAAATATTGTTAATCAGCTGCCATCATCTACAGCCCCGACATATGTAAGGTCTGTCCGTCTCACCCTTACAGCTCCTTTAAGCCAGCTCGCAGCTTTAAGATTAGCATGGTCACCGCCTCCTATGCTAGCAGTATGACTTGCAGAAGGGCAAGATCCAGCGCCGTCTTCTAAAAGCGTCCAAGGATCAATTTCTGATTCACTTTCCTGTTGTTTTAACTTTGCGGATGGATTACCTGCAACCCTGGATAGAACCGGGTTTCTAAGAGAGGTAGCTGAACTACTTGAGTTAATGCCAGGAACTGTACTGCAGGCTTGAAGAGAAACAAGAGCAGAGGTTGGAACAGGTGGAGCTTGGCAGGAGAAAGAGGACCGCTTAGAGGGAAAAAGCACCGGCATTGCAGCTTGGATACGCCACCGGATAGTATCAGGCAGATGCATACGGTCCAAGTCATTCTGCATCAATAATTAGATCATTAGACAAATCAGACAAAGAAGAATCAGCAAATGGCTATGTTTTAACACAACCAACATATACATTTTAGACACTCGAAGCATTCTATAATTGATCTTTCACTGCACAACAAGTTTGTGAAGGTAACTTAGATTATGTTGAATTAAAAGTCAAACTAGTCTAAAATGCCTTTTTATCAGATACAAGGGATTAGTGACTCAGGTCAAAAGCTAAAAACATGCACAGGGTGAAAGATCAAACCTGCATATTCTCCAATAACTCTCGGTCAAATGCAGAAAATTCCTTTGTAGGTTCGTTGATAGACTTTGAACCAGGTTTCGGCCTAAGCCAACTTGGAGGATAACTACTCAACAGAACATGTAAGACCAACAACAAACGGTCAAATAGACCCTCGGCAGAAAAGTCTACAAATGCAACAGAAGCAGCTTCAGAAGATGACTCTGAATCCTTCTTAGAATGCATGGCATTCAGCGAAATATATGCATCCTCATGCACAACCCGGCTTCCTAGGAGACGAAGAATCACAGGTGCCAGAAAATGCCTCATATTCCTCACAGATGGCTCCCTGCAAAATTGAACGCACAAAACTGATAAACTGCCTCCATATTCTAGTATGCAAGAGTTCAATCACAGACATAAAAACTAAAGCAAATTGTTTATGTACAGTTATTCTATTAACTAAGTCAGCAAGATAATTTCTTTATTCAAGAAAAAAGTAGTTCTAGTTCAGCAACAATTCTCGAAGGAGGAAAATATTTGCATAGACCAATATCAAGTCTTTTTACATACCTTTCCATGCAAAGAATAGGAAGAAATCTCAGGAGTAACTGCAAACGAAGTGACAATGAAACACGTAGAGCTGCAGGAGATGGTGGAGAAGAGTCTATTGCAACTGCCGGTCGCCTAGCTAATCCAGGGGTGCTGCCACCTCTTATACTTTTCCTGGTATTCGTTTTAGTTGTCTGGCCTTCAATTCCAGGAGAAGTACTTCCCACTGGCTTACTTCCACCTGTAACAGCATTTATCTGGAGCTCAATATTAGCGAACTGTTTCATCAAATCATTCGCAAAGGAATTGCGAGATTCGTTAGAGCTTTGGTCTAAGCAAGGAAGAAGCAACTCAATAAGAGCCCTCTCAGTCAGATGTTGCTGATTTACTCTTGAGCTTTCAGAGTCAAACACTTGAGAGAGCCCTTTTAGACTCTTCTTCAGATCTACCCCTTCGTCAACAACTTCTCCTTCTTCAAGTGATGTGGCATCAAACTTCTTTTCCCCTTTGACAGCCACCGGATCGGTACATGGACTACACCAACCCCACGGCTCCCAATACTGGGCCTTAGCAGAAAGTCTTTTACTCTCTGCTATGTTATGTAGCCTTTGTTTAATAGTCTTCCGACCAAAGAGGACATCTTGGCCTACAAGGAACCACTTAGCTTGCATCAACATTGAATCTTGTAGAGACCTACCAAAGAGATGAACCAACTCCGAAAAAAGAGGTGCAGCATCAGGTCTAACCAGTAACCTAGTGAGAAGTATTTGAATGAAATTGTTCTCATTCTCGGAAGCAGCAGCAGCCTTCTCTGGACTAGGTGAGGACAACTGTATGGCATCAGATAGAGACATATCATGTGCCTCCAGTTTTTCAATGAGAGCTTGTTCATTTAAAATCAGCCTGAGTGCAACCCACTGCCAATGAAATTTGGCAGGCTGCAAGGTATCCAAAATATGCACGAGCTTATCCTGAAGCTTAGAATCACCATTTGCAAACTTAATCTTAGATTCACCGGGTCCAGAAACACGGTTCACATCATCCTTTGTAAAAATAGATGGTGGCATCTTACAGTTAATCATGGCATTCAGAAAAAGCCTAGAACGAAGAGGAACAAAAGCCATGGATTTTAAATGCATATCAGAGCTATTCAACTCTAGCAGGGCTGCAAATTCAGCATCACTTTCATCTGCAGCCATTAGATCATAAAGCCCTTGACAGTCTCGAAAACATACATCACGAAAAGGCAAATGTTTTATAGCATCAGCTATAGCTATTGTTAAAGACTGGTAAAGTTGATTCGTGTCTTCACGAACTGTGACATTAGCGTTCAGAATGAACGGCCGCCATCTAACAAATGTAAATATTGTATACGCTGGTGGAAAAATCAAACTTAAAGGAAGCATATGTTGCATCCTTGAAAGAGCTGAAATAGATGGTTCACCCAAGAGGTCCACCACTAATCCTTCACAGAGGGCTCTGCAGTTCCCAACAAGCAATCTAAACCAGTGGACATGAACTTCAATTGAATTATCTGCCTTAAAAGCCCAAACAGAACGGGCGTTTCCATTTGAATTGGATCTTGTGTTTCTTATAAATTGTATCACATTTAGCCCCTCTTTTAACCTAAGAATGGTAACCATTCTCTCCAGGCTGGTAACACCATATATAACTGCACCCACAACAAGCGCAGAAACAGCAGCAGCATTTTTTGTTGCTTTTGTAACCACAGTTTTAATAGAGTTGTTTCCCACGTCATTTGAATTAGTGGCACTAGTATCATGGACTTCAGCAGGAGACATTTGAAACTGAGCTCGAGATGCTTTACTGGGAGCAAAAACACCAGCAAAAACATTAGAAGCTTCGGTTGCAAGAGCAATATCAAACACACGGCTTTGGCGTTCCCCCAGGGCTTCCTTAAGCAGGCGCAGACAGGTTATAAACATTCGCAGAATGCATCTGGCATAGTTCAAAGACACTATACTTGACTGATTATTGCTAGAAGAAAAATCAGGCATTTTGGCTAAAGTTGGACCCACACAGCCAACAATTGCAGAAACCGCAGACAACACCAAAGAGGGATCCCCTTCTTGAGCAGCACCGCCAGTCTGCCTTATGCTTTCGATCAAACTCATAACTATTTGTTGAGCAATTTGATATCCATTGTCCCATTTTTCTAAAGGACTTTTTGGTGTACCAGCAGCATAGAGCTTTCTATCTTTTCCAAAAAGATATTGGAACGCCTCTTCAATGTTGCGCAGTACTATGTCTCTCATTCCTGCACCTACTCTGGATGGTAACCGGCTACCACTTATCTTCTGACGGAAAAAATCATCAGGGTCCTCAACTCCTGTCGGAACTCCAAAGGGCAACCCTAATTCTCCATCCCCTGACCTAATAGACTCAAATTCAGCGGAGAGTCTTGCATCACATGTAGATTTAAAAGTTTTCTCCCATTCAACGACACTAGCAACATTACTGTATTTTTTTAATAAATACCGAGTAAAAGCTGTGGCTCCTGAATTTGACACTCTTCCACTAGATGCAATAATAGTGGCTGCACGATTCATTGCAAATGACAAAGCTTCAGGAACAAGGTCTGCTGCAACGAGAATGTTCTCATACCTGCACCAAATGGAATGCATAAGTCACGATTTAATAAAATTTCCCGTGACCATAAATAACCATAACAAAACTGTCCAAAAGAATCATAAAGAATAAAAAGTATAGACAGTTCATAAATCATTGTTAGAAAGAGAAAAATGAGAAAGATTTAGAATTGAAAAGGCTTTGATATCATCTTAGAATTTGAATATGGTCTAACACAACTTCACAAAACCAGCTTGTAAGACGGGACTACCCCCACTTATAAACATATGTTTAGACCATATCTCATCTAATGTGGGACTCTTGATAATGATAAGAATTATTACGTGTTATTAACTTGTAAGTATATGATTTTGTTCAGGAATTTATGAGTAGATGAGAGCAAAGCAAATCTAATTTGATACCAGAGAACAAAAATAAAAGGTCATAAGAAACACTTGGATGCAATAGTTTACCAGGCACATCCCATATTTGAGAGGTACTAAGCTAGCTATTAAAAAAAGCCGCTAGCACCGCATAACTTAGAAGGGAAAGTTGAAAGAAGGGAAGAGCAAACCTTCTAAGTGATGATAGCAGAAAAGCCTCTCCCACATCACAAACTTGGTTTTCCACATTTCTTGGTAGCATCAGAATATTCCTCCCACTATGAATTGAAGAATTGGGGCTACTAAGAACCTTTGGCATCAACCATAGGAGAAACTTGACACCAGATACCAAATCATCAGTGATGTCTATCAAATAAAGTATCCCAGAAAGTTCATCTTCGCCGAGTTTCCACCGTATTGAGCTTCTATCATCCACCATAGAATAAGCCCTTCCATATTGTCCAACTTTACCAATACTTTTTTCAGTCTCTTCAATCACCTGCTTAACAACAGTCAAAAGCCAAGCTGCTACAAGCCTTTTCTCAACAAAACGAAGTTGCTTCAGCGCTTTGCCAACAAAAACAATATCCCTAGAGATACTAGTCCTTATGCTATCCACAGACTTTGGAGCATCTCCGTCTACAGCACTTCTATGGTATGGACAGCTTACCTTATTATCACACACATGACTGGTTGATGCCCCTTGACTACCCTCAATTCTAGAAGCTGCCAGTTGAGCAAGACTCATTTTACGCACATTCTTCTGACGATTCTTAGTAACCTGCTTGGTTGTCTTTTGTGGCTGGTCAACTTTGAGAGGTTCTGAGGATTTCAAACCCTTCTTCACCCACCATGTATCATCATCACCTGGAACAAATAAGCTTCTTTCCTCGTTTAACTTTTGTCTCTTTGCTCTTCTACATTCTTCACACCCAGGTGTGCTCTCCACTGGTTCAATCTTGTTGTAATTAGGCCAGGTAGGTTTTCTAACACTGCCTTCAGATTCATCACATCCTGTTGTGTTTAAATTAGATACACTATTAGGTAGTTGTAACAATACTGATATGGATTCTTTAATTTCTTCAATGCTAGCACCATCTTTTGCACTTTTAGAAGATACTGGAGCTTGAACAGTTTTCCACTGATCGGTTGATACCGTAGAAATCCCGTCCTTTGAAGAAACTGGATATCGTTTTCGCTTCAAACCAGAGACTTTGGTACTGCTGACATCGTCATTGAGCTCACTCAGAGAACCGCGAAGTATGAGGCGCCGTTCAGTCAAGTAAATTTGCAAAGCCTCATTGAGGTGCGGCCCATCAGCAATCCCGGATTCTGCCAAAACATCACGCACAAAGTGCCCAGGCAGCTGCTTTAAGATGTGAGAGTGTCTCTTTCGCCGCTCCACGTCAACAGAACTCACATCCATATCCATGATCCCACTCACAATCAACTGGCGTACATATGCCAAGGGGTAAAAGATTCCTGCATGTATTAGTTCAACTATAAATAAATGTAGCCGCTTGAGACCTTCCCCTTTATGCACCACATGTTGATCAATCCAACAAACTATAATATCATGGAGAGGACCCGGGCTTTCAGATATAACTGAAGAACCAGTAGCCACGTAACTGCGATTATGCCTCTGACTTGCATGTTTTGCAACATAATTAGCTCTGGGAATGCTTTGATTAGATCGTCTTGAAGTTTTCAAATCCTTCAGTTTCATTTTCAAAAGTCTAACTGCTATTTGCACTTGAGAAAGATCTTTCCTACCTGTGAATTTTATGTCACTAGGAGGAGTAGTAGAAAAATCCCTGAAATCACATGTTGCCCACTCGCTGATGAAAAACACTGAATATATAAGAGATGTATGTACAGTCCCAAACCATTTCAGAGATAACCTTAAGCAAGGGCTCACTTTTCCAACCCAAGTGTCAGACACAGTTTCATCACAAAAATCTTCAAAAAGAAACTTGTATGCTTCGTGTAAATCACCAAGCATAAGGGATTTATCCAAGGCTTTTGCTACCTTAGCCAGACAATGACCTGGATTGCAAGGGCTTGTAGCATTGGCAAGATCTTCTGCACGTTTCTGAATACATGAAACAATCCGAGCAAAATCCTCTGAACTATTCTTTATCTTACCTGCAGCCTCGGTTGAGTTTAGTACAAAACTGCCATCATTCATTGTATGTGAGACTATGGTGGATGGCAAAGGAAAGCAATTCAAAGCAACAAAGGTATCTGGCACTGCAAGTATTAAATACTGGAGCATCTCGATCAGACCATATGTTGTATATGCCCTTCTGGAATTATCTACTAGATCTGATCCACCTGGAGCAGGATCACGAATGGCGCGAAGAGTTAATCCAGAAAGAGTGCGCACATAGGTTTGAGACAGAACAACAATTTCTAGGAAGCCGTATATAATAGGCAATAACAGCTGCCAAACCTCAAGCAGATCTTTTTCCTGAAAGAAACAGAAATTTATGAAATCATAACTTGGCGTAAGATTATGCAATGCAACACGCTTTTAATTTTATGAGCACATAAAACCAGTTAAATACAAATGATGTATAAAAAGTAAATACCTGAAGTTGATTCAAAACCCAATCAATAACAAGAGAAGGAAGAATCAGCCCTTCAGCATGATGCCAATGCAAAAGCCGAATGATATACCACCATCTAAAATGTAAAGATGGCTCTTCACCAGCAGAAAAGGATAGTAACGGATCACTTTTGTGCAGCAGCGTTCCAGCATAAGGCATTTGTGGTGACCGCTCTCGATTATGAAGAGTAGAATGAGGAGTATTTTTTGATAAAAACTCATCAAGAAGAATTTGCAAGTAATGGATAACATCTTTGGTCCAAATCTCTGTACGAGACAGCTGAATTTTGTCAGCAGTCCCAGAAGGAACGCCAACAGAAGCTGGTCGAACCTGAAAAGTGCAACCATAATCTAACTTCAGATATTAAGACTATAAAATAACTCGGCATAATTGGTATAAGCCATTGAAGCATTACCTGATTCAGGTATGTAACCTTTATGAACCAAGTGGCCCTTAGCAAAGGAACATTATTCCTGATAAGAACTTCCAAAAGTGATGACTTTTTATAACCATGCGGAACATGCTCGGCCAAAGTGCGTAACCGCTTGTGCGGTTGAGATAAACCCTATAATACAATTTTAACTGGATTAACTTACTGAAATTACTAGCTACCCAATGAAGAAAGCAGGAGGAACAAGACATAAGTATACCTCAATCCATTTCTTCCGGAAGTCCTCACTGCACGGCTTTAGTTCAGGGAAAATACCAGGCTTGGCAAGTTGTAATCCCGAAAGAGGCACTCCATATACTTGACCAGCCTGTCAAAGCAAAACATTGACATCAAATATATTTATAAAAACTGGGACAAGTAGACTGCACTAATTCCAAATAGGCCAGACGAAAACACAGAAATATGGGTATGTTATAGAAGCAGAATATTTTGGAAGGATAAATAGATAACAAGGCATAATAAAGATCATTACATACCTTCCTCTTTTGAGCACGGGATTCATTGATGGCCCTTAGACGTTTTTTAATAGCCTAGAAAGAAAAAATAACAAGTCAACCTATGTCCATGTAGTCTTACGATGAATATACTATTAAAATTGGACAATGTGCAGCAGATCCGAAGTATGACTAAAGAAACAAATAAATAAAGTGAACTGGAGCATCTCAGGAAGACATGAGACAAGGAAATCACCTCTCTGCAATTATGAACAATTGTCTTGTTAAAATGTGGAACCTGAGTCAATGAAATTTCTCTAGCTTCCTGAGTGATAAAAGAAGCAAGGCAATGTAAGACGATAAAAGTTGAGAGACAAAAGCGCATATATTAATAATTGGACGTACTTTATTTCTAAAGAACGTATAAATTTATTTTAATGTCAGAATAAGAATTTCAATTGATAGCATTATGGAAAAATTGCAAAAGAGATAAGGAGAATGAAAGTGCTACGTGTATATAATACAATCTACTTCCTTTTCAGATGAGTGAAAATTTTCATGAAAAGAAAAAGCAAGAAGATACCAAAAACAAGCAAGATGTTTCCGGAAAAAAAGTTACACCATGTGATGGCCAAACATGAAATATTCAAGCTTTAGTATAAAATTTAATAACTGGTTAAGTATTTTACTCATCAGCAAAGCAGGCAGTAGCTACTTTACAATATCTGATTTGGTATAAGCGCGAGAAAATTTTAATGACATACCTCAAGTCCCTCAACTGTATCCCTATATCCAGATTGCAAATATTCTCTGGTCAGAGTCTCCTCGACGCAATTCGGTGTTTGGGAAACAAAATCTGGAGCCCCAAGCCTGAGATTAAAATAATAGCATTTAACAGTTAAATATACAAGTTAATAACGTCCATAAGAGAACAAACTGGGAAATATGGAGAGGAGACGGAGTGAAGGATCCACCAAAACGCTTAAGATAGGACCTTGGATTACGGTGCGCATAAGTCCCACGCGTAGTATGGAATACTCGACAGGATATTAATTATGAACAGAAAGTACCTAGAATTCAAGTGTTCTTTATCACACTTCAACTTGTATGGGTTTATGTTCAACGGTGGTTGTCGCCTGCAAAAACAAAACCATTGTGTTGAAAACTATTAACGGCGTCAGATTTCTGATTTAGCGCAATAGAAAGAAAAAAATGCCACTTCATTACTAACTATCCCTTTTTATAAAAAAAATTGGGGAGTAAGAACAAAAGAAAAAAAAAACACCTCCGTCCCTAATTATAAAGTACCCTTTAAGAAAAATATTGTCTCTAAATATAAGCCCTCTTTCAAATTACTAGATACATTTATTATTTTTTCTAAAGATGTCCTTAATTACTACTACTAATTTTGTCTTGGAATATGAAAAGTCAAAATTAATTACATATATACACAAAGGATAGTTTAGTAAGTTATACACAAAGTATACACATTATTCATACTATCAACTTTTTTAATAATAAATATATAAAAATATATAACAGGTGCTTATAAAAAGGGACCAACTGTGAAAACGATACTTTAACAAAATGACTTAAATAAATGTAAACAATGCGCCAAGTAAATATGAAAGGTAGAGAGTCACAAGATATCTCCCCGTCTGTGATATCCAATTTATTATGTTTTAACTTTTCATTTTGCTATTGGCCAACACATACTCGTATAAACACACGCGCAGGGGGAGTGTAGAGACTAGGGATCGAACCTAGACAGACACCAGCACAAAATGTTCTCACAGTCAAACAACTAAGTTGTAAGAACGAGGGCCAATTAATTACTTAAATAAAAAGTACTAAACAAACCCATGGATTTGAACTGAATTTCAAAATACAAATTTTAACAGTCCTTGTTGAACCTTTATGGCAGGGATCAATAATGTGATTTTTTTGTCACAATAAATTTCTTAACCTATCAAAATTATAAATAAATAGGATAGTAGATCAATCAATAAATACTTGCTAAATTTTCAGAATTTAAACATAATTACAATTAAGAAGAAAAAACTAGCTTCAAGATTTACCGCATAATAGGAAAACGCTTTGGTTGTCCTTTAATATTTTGTTTACTTCTTGAGCCCATGGTTATCAAATCGAGATTCGATTTATCAATTGGAAGACCTATTTTCAAATTGTGAATCGAATCTTCTTCTGAATCGTAAGACATGATCAATAATAAAAATAGCATTTTTAGTCGAAAATGAGTAACATAAGTATAAAAAAACATGAGCCAATATATCAAATATCAACTTCAAAATAATTCAAAATTCAAGTCATAAATAAATAAGTATTCAACTAATACGACTATTATATTTTACAAGACCAAAATAGGATGCAAATCAATAAGATACAATACATTAATATGACACAAAATAGGATGCAAACTTAACAATTATGCACAAAGAACATAATTGAAGTAGAAAAAACTTTTAAAACCTGCATTTACTAATTATGTTAGAAGCAATATTATCTATCATTGCTAGTTTTGAGAATGGATATGAGGTTTCATATTTCTGACCCATTATACCATCCAAGCACAGCATCAAAACTATATATAGCATTGTAGATCAAACAATAAATACTCGCTAAATTTTCAGAATTTAAACATGATTACAATTAAGAAGGAAAAAACTAGCATTAAATTTACCGCATAATAGAAAACACTATAGTTATCCTTTATACTTTAGGTTTAGGTTTAGCAGAGACCAAAATAGGACGCAGATCAATACGACACACTAATATGACACAAAATAGCATGCAAACTTAACCATTATACAGAAAGAACATAATCAATGTAGCAAAAACTTTAAAAACCTGCATTTACTAATTGTGTTAAGCAGAAGGAAATATAATGTATGATTGGTTATAAGCAGAGGATACTCATGAACTTCTTAAGCAATCAAATTCATAAATTTAAAATCAGGCTAAGCAATTTGATTGCTCAAGAAACAAATGAACTCCGCTGAGGTAGGTTTACAACTTTCAAAATGATGTTAATCAAATAGGAAAACAATTACCTATAAACTACTATCTAACAAAGAAGAAAAAAAACACTAGAGCAAAAACAATTATTCAACCACAACCATAATTTTTTGGAATTCGCAACACATCCCATATTCTATAGTCATTAATATTGTGAAGAAAGAATAAATCAGCAACAAGGAACGGTGACAGAGGAAAGGTTCTCGTACCTTGAATTTACAGGGAAGTGAGCTGGAAAAGAAGAATCAGATCTTCCAGTATCCCTATAAGATGGCCCGCCTACGGTACTGTTATTAACTGCACTAGTGCCGCTGCCAGCACGATACCTGTGCATTTCCTCCAACTATAACCGGCATAATTCCCTAAGCCTCATACCACTATAAGTAGCTTTAGTGGCTAAACTGTGTGATCAAAAGTATCACCAAGTCTTTCAAAGTCAAGCAGGCGTCAACTGCACAAACAAAAAATAATAAGTGAACAAAGGTTTGAAAAAATTTGAGCAATCGGATAAGAATTATTTGACTTCACTTCTCAAACATTGAAGGCAGAATTTTAGTATTCTGAATTACAAGTATACAAATACAAATGAGTAACAGAGGACAAAATCTAGTGACTGAAACTAATCATAATATCAACTCCAGCCCGCAGTCGGCTAATAAAACGCAAAACATAAAGCATATACAAAATCCTGAACTTTAGTCCACTCTACTTTCCTAGGGTGTTATAGTTCACGCAGCCGACACAACCATATCAGTGTTTTATGGATTTTCTCCACATAAGTCCAAACCACGAAAGACAGTACTCTACCATATATCTTACAAAGAGGGCTATCCTATCATTTTCTATAATAATCTTATAACAAACTGTGTTGAAAGCTTCACACTTTTAGTTGGATCAAACATATTTCAATGTGATACTTAGGGCATCATGTGTTTTTCCTGTTTTCACCTCTATTAGTGTCTTCCTTGTTAAACTTTCATTCCATAAAATTATGTTCATAAGATGAAATTGACCTTCATACCTAAATCAATGTATGTATGAATGAAAAATGAAAGATTATGGCGGGCAGCCATAAATCCGCCATATAAATATGGCGTTGCGGCCCATGGAAGATAAAATAAGCATTTCAGCCTATGCAGATATAATGGCGTTGCAGCCTATGCATAAATAAGTGACAACACTGACCTAAATATATAAATCTCTTTGCGGTACTTCTGCAAATCTGTAAAAGCAAACAAAACCGAAAATGTAAAAAAAAATATATTAAATGTAAACCCTAAAAAACATTTTCCCTGCAAGGCTGACTCGCTAAGAAGGCAACAAAAATGTGACTTTAAATTGCAAATATCTAAACTGTAATCTTTTCATTAAAAGTTTTCCGAACCTTAATTCCCAGAAAAATGTATATCTATCTACATGAAGTGCCAACTGTTCTAACAATCTAATCAGAGTATATAAACTTGCAACAGATCATTTCGCAAAATCATCCCAATCAATATACGAAGTAATAAACAACAAAATCCAACAGCAAAGTTACCGAATTCAATCAAATCACTAGTGATCCATAACTAAGTCAAAACTCACAGCTCAAAAGCTAATAATAATGAACAATTAAACACCCTTTTAATTCCAACATTTTTCCCTCTCAATTCAAATCACCTACTAGCTCATATCAGTACTCTCTGAACTAACTAAGCATCAGATAGAACTTTTTCAAATGCACCAATAAACAAACTTGAACACCGCCCACCAACTCAATTACCAGCAGAAACTCAGTTCAACATAAAAACCAAACCTAATGCAAGAAAAAGCACCAAAATTCAAACTCCAAAGCAAGATCCAAAACTAGGGTTTTACAAAAGGGGCAAAAATTAAAAAACCAAACTTTCAAATTTATTTTCCATTTCCCCCCCAAATTCACAATCCAATTAACAAGCTACAAAAACCAACTCTCCCCAGCTAGGTTTTCAGATTCAAAACACCCAAAAAAATAAAAAAAATCTTTCTTTTTCCATAATATATCAAAAGGGGTTGAAGATTATGAAAAAATTAGTTCAAGACATACCTGTGTAGCAAAAAAAAAATCAAAACTTTGAGGAAAAGAGTTGAAGAGAAAGCAACAAAATCAGCGCAGAAGAAGGGTATGAAAGTGTGTGAATCAGTTTGACTGAGAGAGTTTTGTGGGTGGTGATGACGACGACGATGCCGTTGTTGCTTCCTCTGGTATGAATAAAGGGTGAAGGTGAAGGATCCACTAATTTTTATTTAATTAAAATATTATTATAATTTTTTTTATTTTGAAAAAATTTTATGACTTTACTTTATAAATATTTTAATATGATTTTTTTCTTATTTAACATTATTATTATTACTATATAGTCAAATGTATTTTATTATTATTACTTTTTTAAAAGATTTTTCTTTACTATATTATTAGAAAAAATATTATTTTCATGATTATTTTCTTCATAAGATTTTTATTCCTTCTATTCTTCTTCTTATCCTATTTTGATCTTATATTATAATAGTAATTTTGTGTGTTCAATGAATTGAGACAGGGTTAATAAGGGTAATATGGTAAATTAATTTGTAAAAGTTTATCTATTTAGTTAATTACCAAATTAAAAAATCTATTCTAGATATTATATATTTTTACAAAGATAGATATTTTATTAAACAAATTATGATTTTTTTTGTTATGTTATTGAAGAAATGTTTATGTTTAAGAAGATATTGTAGCATTAAAGAATAATTACTAAAATTTGAACAAGTTTTGATTTTATCACTAAAAACAAGTTTTGTTATCGTCATGATTTATTTATAGTTTAAATTTTGTATAGGTTTGTTCTAAGTACTGTAAAAAGTATAATGATGTTTTTTTTTAAGACAAGCGATGTAACATACTTACATACAAGTTGCATGTTTTGAAAAGTAGTTTTCTTTTTGTACAAACTTATAATCATGAAGGATAGAAGAAAAAAATACATTTCTTGTGCTGACCAAATTTTTAAATTTAATTTATCAAAATTTCGCTTAGGACATTATTATTTTGTTTTATTTATAAAAAACATTCATAGTAAAGCAATTAACTTTATTCTTATTGAAATTTATATATAATTTAGTATAGTCAAATTATTATTTAAAAATATATTAAATTAAAATATCAATTTAAATAATAATAAAACCAATTTAAAAAATTGATAACGTATTTAAAGTTCTCAAAATAAATTACTTTATCTTAAACGGGTCGGTCTTAGTGGGCATTAAGCTTTTTAGAATCAGATAAAAAAAAACTCTATTGTTATAGGAGCTTGAAAATTACTATCCAGCTCGACTTTAGATGGATTTCAGACTACTCAACCCTAAACGAGTTTTTTAAATAAAAAAATAAAATAAAAAATCAGTAATATTTATTATAAATAAAATCAAATATTATTTTTAAAATAATACATTTTAAATATTATATTATCTTTTATAAATATTATAATATATTTTTACATATAATACATATCTAAATTATACAAAATAATACTCGAATATTTAATATAAGAGAAATTAATAGAATACGAAAAAAGAATGTTGATTATATCATGTATAATATTTAAAAGAGAAAAATTGAATAGAGTAGAGACAAAATTTAGAAAAGTGAGAAAAATCAATGTGTTATTTTGGAGTAACACAATATAAAAATTAATATAATTTTTAAAAAAAAAACGTATAGTTATGCAGGTATAATAGACTACCTACGGCTCTTACGAGTTAGTCTTAATGGATAGCGAGTTTTTTAAGACCGATATAAAAAAATGAAATTTCTATCTACACCCTTGCTACTTCTAGCAGGCCCTTCATAAATTTCCCAAAATGCTCCCATGTTTCAGAATGACTTATCTAAACGCACCAAATGCATTTTTTTAAAGTGGACTTCGGAAATGAAATTCTGGCAACAGATACTTAATGTCACAGTGAATGTTATGACACCGTATCTGACAAACTTGTACACACTCCAAACAGTAATTTAAAATACAGTAAAGAACACAATCAATTGTTAACCCAGTTCAGTGTGTAACAACACCTACTCTGGGAGCTACCAAGCCAGGGAGGAAATTCACTATAAGAGGTGTTCATTTAGGAATAAACCAACCAGTTTATCTCCTTCACTTAAGACCTATCCAATGCAACTTCAATTTAAGTCCAACTTAAACCTGAGTTCCTACTCACTCCCCCTCAATCACAGCAGTGATACTAATCTATTGATTAATGAGATTATGAAGACATTCTTCAATACACACACTTGATTTTGCTTCAAAGCTTTAATCAAGAGACACAATCACTCGTGCTTCAAAGCTTTGAGTGATAAATAACCCTTACTTGATTTTGCTTCAAAGCTTTAATCAAGAGACACAAACACTCGTGCTTCAAAGCTTTGAGTGATAAACAACCCTTACAACCAAATCCTACTCCAAGTCACTTATCAAAACGATAATTGCTTGGCTCACAGTAGTTACAACTATACAATGCCTTATTGATCTTCTGTCAAAAGTGCTGCTAACCATTAGGCTTCGTCAGAAATATATAAGCTGCCTATTCTTCTTTTAGGTCTTCCATAAAAATAGCTAGGGTTAACTAAAGTAAACTTAAAGACTTGGTCTAGGGCTTTTTCATAACAGATTAGAGTTAAGCAAGGTTAACCTAATGTCTACGTGAGCAGTTGATCTGGACAATAATTCTTCAACTCAGAGAAGCACACCAGTTTCCTGAAAATTCTCAGGAATAATAAATCTGCACAATAACTTGATCAGTACAGGATGTCTTAACATTGGTTATGACATCATGAATCTTGTTCACTGGTTTTGGTAGAATTCAGTATATATGATCATAGCTTAATGATCATGATAATCACTCATACTGAGTAGTTCCTGTAGAACATTCTTTTTGCAGAATGTACCTTTATCCCAGAATGTTATGACATCAGTCATGACATTCGCAATTCTAGTTTTACCAAAAAATAATGCCAACAAACAAACACTTACAAACTCCCCCTTTGGCAATTTTTTGGCTAAAACCCCTAAACAATCAGAGATTAGAATGCAGCCAAAATTTTTAATAACAACTACCAATATCTAATTCTACCAAAATTACCATAATTTCTTCTCCCCCTTTTTAGCCATAAAGAGGCCAAAGATACTTGTACTTTAAGTTATACAGTCATCCAAAAGGAAATTAAAAAAAACACAGAAATAAACAGAAGGTATCATTTGGCAGCAACAAGTTCCAGCAACAATCATTTCAGCAAACACAGACCTTCAGGTACTGTCATCCCCTGAGGAAGCACTA